ACCCATTCTGGCGCTCGACCACCGATATGAAGTATGTGCTCTAGCACAGCATTTTCATAGTTCGAAAACGCCCCCAGGCGCGCGTTTTTCGCTTCGGGCAAAGCAAGGTGCTGGACGTTCTCAGGGCCAAGCAGGGACATCTGAATTTAAGCCCGTCCTGCATACCCGAATTGCTTCATCCTCGCATAGGATTAGTCGTAACGACTCAGGTGTAGATTGGCTACAAGTGCATCGGGGCTGCCGAAACTCTTTGCGTAGAGGAAGCTAAGCTATGGTCACCGATCTTACGTTTTATACTAGTATCAGTATGAGTATGGCGGATTGCAATCCGCGACCTCCAAGAGTACCCAAAAGCTTAACCTAAGGCAAAACTTCTTCCGTTCAAAAACCCAAACTGTATTTGTTTTGTTTTATCTGCAGCAGAGCCGACTATATCGAAATCTATAGTGTTTCATTATCAAATGATACAACCAAATTGATATGCATAACCACTGGCAGTCCCCCCACGTAGCGGCTTCTTGTTACGGTGTAGCTACACCATTGTGAGATTACACCGTCTTATGTAATTCACACCTTTGCATGGTCATACCATCTTGTGTAAACCACCCTTTGATACCAAGGTACCTGTAATCCCGTTACATTGTGCCTCACCTGCGCATTCTTATAGCTGCTGAACGCCTTCAAGCAAGCGATTTTTGCCTCTGGCCCTGAACCGTTGTCTAGCTGCCCTTTTTAAGACCAACAGAAGCCAAATCTTCCTTAAGCGTGTATGGGCATTTTGGAAACAGATACTCGAATATCTCGTGCCCATCATTAAATACAATTGATTTTTTCACGACTCAGTCGTGGGGATGACAACAAATACTACTAAGTATGCCCCGTGAGCTATGCACAGAAGAAGTTTTGACTTGAAGAGTCCGCATTAAAAACTCACAGAGGTAAGGTCCATAAGCTTCACCCAAGAGCGGACCGAATGCCTCTCTAGTAAAAAAGTAACATATTTTTTTATGTTTAGTTTTGCATAACCGATATATACTAATACCAAACTTTTTTCATATGTTAAAATTTTTATAACCCGATATAGTATTACCTGACGTGAAATTAACAGACCACGTGCACAGACCTGTCCATTGTCGTCTTTGATACTTTAATAATTCTGGATTCAAGTTTTGTAGAATCGTACAAAATTGTGTCTTGCAAGATTGCCCAAAACGAACAATGTATACTGCGAGTACTTTGAAAAGTCCTTGTCAGCCTGGATTGCTGTTACTAAATTCCAGTTGCCCGGAAAATCGCTGACAGTTTTGTCAGCAACCTGGTTCGAATAACGGAACTGAAATGGCGCAAAAGTTGCTTTCGATCACATGGCCGCAAAGCCCTTACAAAGCCGCAATTCAAGCTCAAGTGGGTGCCTACGCTTATTAAAAGAAACTCTTGATCGCTCAAATGCCAGATGCACAAGAATTTTAATGTTGGACGTGGTCGCTACGTGACGGTATGTGGCTTTCAAATTTTGCATCTTGATCACTCTCTCCATACACAAGTGCCAAAATTACGTCTGATCATTTTCGGATTATTAAGTCCTTGACGTCATTTGCAATAGAAATGGCTAACTCCTCAAGTAAATGACGTACCCACTGCATGAAATTTACGCGATCTTCTATCGCTTTCGCAAACAGCTTTGACATCAGAAAGTGATAATTGATGCTTTGACAAATACTGAATAAACACTGCTGCCTGACTAGCATTATGAGTAATTAACTCCGTGTTCGTGCAAAAACTGCACATATTAGTCAGTATATGCCGGATATTTACCTGTGCGATGAAGGTTAAAATCAACTACTTACCTGAGGTGCATTTTGTTCGTAGCATCATATTTCGCTTCCTAGTTTGTCTATTAATTGGACACTTTCCCGCTCTGCCACTGGAATTTGCACAGTCCCTATTACCAGAGCCCGGCACTTTCAGCTACAGATCTTCAAAAATCGTGATTCGCTGGTAAACGCCATAATGTTAGTTTGTTTCATATCGCAGAACTTTCGGGAGTAACTAATCGCAAACTGTTGCACAAACGTCTATGAAACTTGCTCAAACTTGTGCTGGTGACCCCTTTTGTCATATCTGCTTCGCTGTCTTCAAAATATGCCAGCTTGACATCGCTGCCACAATTAGCCAAATACATCTTTGTCAAATTATGATGCTAAAAAAAGTCACATAGTGCACTTAAGACAAACTATTTTAGATTATGATAATGATAGTCATGTACATTGAGGACGTCAAGATAGTTCCATTGTCCCTGGATGCAAGCTCACTCTTTGGATTCTACACTGACGAAATGAACGTTTGCGCACTTAGTGATGAGCCAGTTACGTCACGCCCTTGGAACAAAAAGGGGTGTTTTGATAACGAGATTGAACTGACATTGACAATAGGTTTAGATAGTAGTGTGACTAAGTCGCAGAGAAGGAAGCAACGAGGGAAAGTTGAGTTGTTGCTAGAAGACGATTTTATTAGCGACGAAGATGCGAAGGATGATCATCGCGAAGGCTGTGATGCTGTATCGGCCGAGATGACGAATATGAAAGCCGACAGAATTAGCTCTGCCGAACTTGTCAATCATGAAAATCGAACTACTACACCAGAAGAAAATAAAAGTAGGACTTTTCGACAGCAATCTTCTACTACGATTAAGTTGAATGCGGAGACCATTGTTCATCATCTCGTTCGCGAATATTTGCTTACGCATTGTCACGAAGACATTGCTAGAATACTCGATCAAGAACGAGTAAGTAACGTATTTTATGGCAACAGAAATAACTTGACCAGCTTGTATATATGCGTACAGTCTATGCCGATCCTTACTGTAGCAGAACACAGGCACCTCTACCGGCATTTTACCAGCACTAACCAACCTAGCGAAAGTCCGTCAAATTTTGCTTCGCTATTGGAATGCCTACTTGTGTGCTCAAACGAAACCCAATTAAAGACAAAATCAAAACGCAGTACAGCTACATCAGCAATCCGACAAAAGCCTGTGCTTAGTGTGATTATAGCCGACCTGAAAACCGATGCTGATAACATTGGCGTTACGCCAGAACACAAACAAAGATTTAATCTTCTCAGCCACCCAGGCTCAACTCCTCTTCATTATAGTAGTGTCATTGGAGGTGGTGCAGCCCAAGCCGCTGCAGCTGAACGCCCATCTTTGTCCAGAGAAATACAATTGGCTCGCTTCAAAGATTTGGAGCCCTTGAAACTTGCGAATGTCGACAATGTGGCTTTGACGGGTGTCGTTGAAGAAGCGGACGGGAATGAGGGTCAGTACTCCCACTATGCCCGTCGAAAACGACATTCAAGCGCTAGGAATAAGCGCGTTCAATTAGGAGAGTCTGGAAGTACCCCAACCAAAGAGTACTATTTTTTTCGAGAAACTCCACCGTTGTTTGTGACGGAAACCATGGAAGCTGCAGTTGAAATACTTGAAAGGTTGAACAGCAATGCTGAATTTGCTTCACAAGTCACGACTGTCGATAGATTTCTTGAGCTACAAAGTAGCGAAGTGTCCAAATATAGTGTAGGCCAAGTGATTGAAAAGTTGGGACCGCAATCTGACATCAATGGTGTAGTTTCAAAAATATATGGATCGAGATTATGCGGAACAGCAGGAAGTGGGAGTATTATCATTGACACTTGCCCCGAGAATCTGTAGCAGCACATTTACCTGGGATACAACAGTTAGCTACTTAGAGATTGTTCACTTACCGGGATCACATCAATACAGAAATATCTTTAACATTCTAGATGAATGTTTTCTTAACTTGACATTCCTTACGGTATGTCTACTTGTAAGTCCTACGACAGCTGTATGCGCTAGTACATAAGAAAATATATATTTGTTGATATGAGAATCAGCAAACTGGCTAACCTTGTCAAAATCTTTCACAATTGTGTATTCTTGCAGCTTTAGCGAAAAATGATGAAGTGAAGCGCACCATAGTTACCAGTGTCGAAAAATCTGTTTTTATACCTTTTAGCCTACCTGCGATCGTTGAACTTGATCGAAAGAGGTGCTGTGGAAAGCTGTAATATGACGGGTTATGCATGGTTACGCTTTAGGTCTCAGCTCTGGTCACAACCAAGTATGGCGAAGTCCACTAGTCCAAAACAGTCATAGTTGCACTGCTCGATGTACTCGCGTTTATGATTCGTTTCAATCCAGCCCATGTGCTGTTCTCAGAGTACTAAACAAAGATGGTCCAGCCAGCTAATCTTTTGTATTTGAAAGTCACGTACGGTCTTTATCGTACACTCCCTGTTACCATATATGCAGACGTAGTGCAATACATGTTGATGAGGTTATAAAAAAAAATAATACGCGGTGTCTGTCGACGGTACGGGTTATTGATTTATACCTTGATTGGAAACGTAGATGCTGTTTTTTACCATGACTATAAGCCATCTATGCCAGAAACTATAACCTAATTGCTCTGCCGAGACCTGTACGACCCATGCGTCACGAAAAATAAATTGAGCAGAAAAGTCTCTGGCGAGTACAAGTACCACCAACGCGTCGTCAGAATAAAAAAACGGCCGAAGAAAGTGTCTGTTATGACAAAAGTAACGTTCGGTATCAGACAAAGGAATCACAACTTTTTCTAAGAGCCGCGACGCTGAACAAAATCAGATGTCTATCAGTTAATCCTTGATAGTCTCTACGATCTATGACGGACCCAAGCATTAAAAATGTGACTCTTTTCCTCGTCGTTTTGCACGGACAGTTTACACGCGAATAGCGACTTCATTTTAACCCTCGTGTTAAACTCACTTTGGGATACAGATGCCACAACGCTGTTGATCTGTCAAAAAGCAAGTGAAAAGTTAGTCAACACAACTCGCTCAAACGATGTCGTCAAAAGCGCGCCTAAGAATCTCGGTAATGCCCTACTCTTGCCTGTATCTCAATAGTGGTTTCTCTAGTAGTCTTACTTACTACGGAAAATCGAAAGTCTTTCACTTTCAGTTGTTTTCTTGCTGCTGTTTAAGGCATTATAGATCCATTATAAGACACGAACTATATTTAACATCATCTTGCTCTTCAGTTTACATTGATTTCTATAGTCTCTGTGTGCGCATTTTTGTCGCAAGCACAATTTAATACATAGCGCTGAAGGCCCACTCGACATTGTTGGCCCCGAGTATGCGGGACTCAATGTCAAACTCTGCAAAGGTCTTGCTATCACAATGGACGACCTTCAGCTCATGATTACCAAGTGACTGCTGCTTAACATTTTGAGAGGACTTTTGTTGCAATAGCCTTTCTTGTTGTTGCTTTTTCTGCCGGCATTGCTCTTGTACGGCACGGATAGTGCAGTTAACCTTTTCGAGGTAGACCATATTGGATTTGCAGTCAACGGAGCAGAAGCCTGGGTGCTTACTTAGTGTCTTAAGGTAGATGTGCTGGCAATTGTTACATTTTTCACGCTTCTTGTCCCAGTGTGCAATGCGACCGCGCGGCAAATCGAGCGGCTGCTTCATGACTTGAGGGTGCACCATATGAGAACGTGAGATGCTTGGGGTGGAGAGCTTATCGGTCTTCTCAGCTGGTACCAACTTGGCAGGGGTGAATAACACACGGCTGGAAAGCTTTTGAAAGAAGGCGTCCATTTGTAAAAGATGATTCTTGGAAAGCTTTCTTGAGGTGAGGCCCTTGTGCTGAGTGCATCAAAAGCTGAAGTGAGTGGGCTGCTGTATTCGCTCAACCCGCGTTGGCCATCTGTTTTTTATTATCGATACAGTTTGGTGAGCCACAATAGTATCAGCACTTCTCCTCCGGCTCGTCTGGTAAAACAGTGTGTGTGGCGTTCTCTTGCGACAAGTGGATAGCACTCTATCGGCAAAGAGAACGGAACAACGTGATAAGATAAGAGGTTCAAAAGACCAAGTGTGATAAAAATATAGCTAAGGTTATAAAGTTAGTGTAGAAGCGCTTAATCAATTGTAGGAGGTCAAGCTTTCTTTTTTTGCACTCAAGACATTCTTTACTGATAAAGGAACAAAAAGACCCGTCAGTCAGAGTCGCCCAAAGAATACTTCATTGTCCTTAGTCGAGATAATTTGTGGATCGCCATGGAATTTGGTGAATTACGTGTGTCTTCATCTACAACCAATTTATACTAAACAAAAGAATGCACAACAGACTTCTCTCGAATTGAAATCGGAAGTGGGTGTCAGCGTGTCTACGAGTCTACGAGTCTACGATGCTGCCGTTTTGAACGGCACCTAATTAATTCAAATACCGAAATTATTTCGGTGAGATTAAAATTCTGATTGTTATTACACTAAATTGTTCTCATACAGTTTTAGCATCTGAAATTTGAGCCCGATGAAAATGGATGCAGCATTGAAGAAAACAAATCACGGAAAGTCGCTTTCGTCTTGTCTTATATGAGCCAAAAGCTGAAGAATTGGGCATGCGCGCACAAAGTGATGTCGCCGGATTATAATATTCTGCTCGTAAACCATTTTTATTAAGGAGCCAGCTATGATGATAATGACAAATATAGTACGTAATTGCTTTTATTTACTTGTAGGGTGCTTGCTTAACACTGTTGTGGAGTTGTCGGGCCATCTGTACGTCACACATCAACAAAAGTTGATTTTCTAAACTCTACTTCGTTGTCATGGAGTGTTCGAGCGGTTGTAAAGTGACAGACGATCTAGTTTTCCATCAATTTTCGCTTAGTTTCGTTGCGATTCTTCGCGATACAAAAATGTTTAGCTCTGCAGGCTTCATTCGGAGGCAAACTAAAGCTGCCCAGGATCTTGCTCGCATACTAAAAAAAGAGTCACAATCGATTGATGACAATACCAATCCTTCAGCTTGTGCAATCATGATCCGTCTATGCCGATAAAGTAAGCATTCTTTACAGGATCTGTGGTTACAACATGTAGACTTGTAAATTACCGCAAAGGCTGATCGAGCTACAGCTGTTTCAGGCCCATGCACGAATGCTGACATTGACAGTGACTTTTGACTGCACTCTCAGCAGCATGTTTGGCGTAGCACAGGATCACATAGCTTGCACTTGTCAAAAGAATTACTACAACTTATCTGAAGCATATTGTTGAAATTGGAAGCCTTCTTGCGCAGAAGTACCACATCATGCGCAAAAACTCCTTTGAATACGGAAAGGGCAAGAAAGAAGAAAAGGATCTTTCATTTAGCTTTGTTTATTGTCAAGGAGATCGACGGAGTTTGCTCAAGTAGTGTACTGGAAAGAAATGGTTGTACTGTATAATCTACAATTCATATGTCTTTTTGGTTTGTCGCCTAGGTTTTACATTAAAAAAATCAGGTACGATCAATGTGAGCCACTTTTTTAATGACTTTCAGCAATGAGGTCGCCTTGATGAACAGTTATGTTGCGTATAAGCTGCATTTTCTGCGCTATTGTATGAAAAGCATCAATTTGGCTTTAGTTGTTGATCTGGAGACACAATTGATCAGACGAGAGTCACGGTGGTCGAGTCGTCACATTTACAATCATATGTGGTGTCCAGATCTTTGTAACCGTAGATCTACGCTCTAAGCAGCGTCCATACAACATGAAGATTTTACAATGTAAGGATTATCCCCCGACATGAGACAAGGCGGTCAAATGGATGATCACCTCTAATAATTATAAGGCTAAGAATTGTAAAAGGACAATAAAACTACTTACAAGACGGGGTTTAGCCAGTTCCATTGCCCACTTCTCGTCTTTAAGCAATATTGTTGGAGTCGACCACATCTAAGCTACCGATTACGAGGATCAGAAAAATATAGATAAGTGTACATAATTACTCTCTACTATTCCATTAGTTGGCTTCTGTTCCGCTTTTGGTGCAACGAAGTCGTTTGAGGCATCAGCTTGAGATATGTCATCCAAGAAACGATGTAATTCGAATGAACGATAGCTACTATTTATAAAAAAGGTCCCAGTCGATTATTCTCGTTGAGTAACCTTTAACAGGACGCGCATACCAGGGTATTTGTACGAGCCAATCATTTCGAGTACATTCGTTTGCATGAGACGTTGTCATTCGGACGTGCATTGTTTACATATCAATTTTTCTGACCATTGAGCTAGATGATATGAGCTTAAATTGTCCTCAGTATCGATCAATACACGAAAACAAGTCGAAGTGGTGATCTGTCTGATGTTTAGAATGCCGGTGGCGCCAATTGGCCTTCCACTTGACTTTTCCATATATTAACTGAAATTCCGTGGATATTCACAATAAAGCATCTCTGGATACTCTGAGATTCTTAGATCAGACAACCCAATATCACTAGAGTAAAGCTGCGCATTTGTTATCCAAAAACTAAGAAACTCGCCCATTGAATCCATCAAAAGCATTGCGTGGTTGGTTTATTCCAAAGAAGGTATTCATAACGCATCGATAAATACGACTCGCAAGAGCACTTGATGATTTTTCCGTATTGCTAAATTGATGATTCAAAGGGCCTCTGTGCATGTGGTAAGGCACGACTATACAATTACTTCTCTACGTAGAGCATCAGTTTTACAATAATCCACTATGGATATCATTTCGTCCTTCGAAAAGGAGCTGTTTTCTATTGTCGCGTTTCATCATTCGGCATATATATAAATCACGGTAAAACACGAACGCAAAAGTAGCACAACTTTTGAGTTATGGCAGCTGTTCACGACCTCAACAAAAGCACACAGACAGTGGTTTGCGGCTACATGCGGTACATCTTATTGTCAATGACTGACTCATCATGAGTCATCGTCTTACAGTTTTTCCTTCATAGATCCTAATTTGCCTTACACCACAGCAACTTTAAGGTAGTAGCGTTATTTTATGGTATGGAAGCGCCGCAGATAGCTGATCGTTGAGGTGTACATGCTGTTGCGGAAAGCAATCCAGCATAAAGCTTACAGACTTTGCCGTCAGTGCAAATATTTATAATGTTAGTTATCTCTGCTCAAATACTGGGAAGTTTTGGCCACTTCTGAAGTTGATTTAACAATGCGGTCTGCTTTCAAGTGCACCAAGATTGACGAGGCAGGCTAGCCTCCCGCTCCGCGTTCAAACGTGTAAAGACGAAGGTTGAACACCTTCAAGTAGGGCAACCAAAAATCTCATTTCCACTCACAGTACCTAATTTGGGTCAAAGATTGCAGAGATACAAGTCACGAAAGGTCGCATGGGCGACATGGAATGGGCAATTTAGGGTTACAAAGTCTGTACATAGAAGCTGTTCTTGCCGAAATGCGTTTAAGTGGGAATACTTGATGAAGGAGTGAAAGCATTCCTAAAGTACGATTTTGAGCGATAAATCAATCAAATACGAATTGTCTACTTTAAGACCCTTCATGGACTTACTCACCTGACCGCCATCGCGTTGAATATCTAGCCGATGAAGACTCTGTGGACTTTTGCCTCGCCTTTCACAGTGGACGTTAGCGCTCCTGCTTCAGCAATTTATGTCATCGATGACTGCTGCCTTATAGCTAAGCTGTTTATCGCTCTTGAGATCAGAGTAGTCGATCAGCAGATTGCTATCAGCAAGATTTTGGATAACGTGAGAAGCAAGTGCACCAAGAGTAAAGATTCGGACGAAGCCTTGGTCGTCATGGACTTCAAGATGAAGCTCGAAACTTTATACTTTTGAGAATAGACGATCGGGCATGAAGGGGATTAGTTGGCATGGAGTCATGGTGCAGTGCTTCACCTATGAACAAGCCGAGTAGGGGGAAGTTGCGCTCGTTACGGATAACAAGATTTTCTTTGATCACGTTTCATCAGGAGACAACAAACAAGACAGGGAGTCCATGAAATCAATGACCGAAGCGATTCTGATGCGACTGAAGAAGGAGCTTCCATAATAGTGCTTCAGTCTGATAACGCCACCTGCTACCAAATAAACGGTTGCCCTTGATTCTTCATTTCCTGAGTATTGTGCACAAAATAGAGATTGTGCGCTCTATCCATATTGAGACGCAATTAGCAAGTCGCTCATTTTGCCAGATGAATGAAAGTACCAAGGTCATGGGTAAAGGAAGGCAATAATTGCGTCACACCAACCTGGGGTACCGAACTGCATTGTAGAGCTCGTCGAAGACAACCGAGACCGGCTCTTTGAGCTTGCAAAACAATTCGAAGAGATGGACAGGCAATTGTAGCGATTAGCACGGGCCAATGGCTCTAATTCCATGACGAGCGGCGACTCGGCCAGAATAAGGAAAGGGTCCCGACAGCATTAGATCCGGTGCGCTACTGTAGCTGCCCAGACTACTCTCACGGCTTTTCGATTTTATCTAGATTGGAGACGGTTTCAATGCAAGCCATCTCAGAATCCGTGCGTGCCTGAAGCAGTAATATCGTCGAAGAAGGAAGCCTAGGAGAAGACTCTGATGAGGAATGAGAGGTTGGACAGACTGCATGGTTGGCAAAAGAAGGGCGCGAATAGCAAGAAGATGACGACGGTGATGAAGGACAGTCGGGTGACGACGATACAGGGGCTTCCCACCGAAAATCTTGACTCCAGGTCAGTTAAGTACTCAGTTAAATATAACTTCAAAAGCGACTAATATTTGAAATTAAGTCTGATTATAAATAATACTAAATTTATCTGTTTGATTATGTTCGATAATGTATACATTTCACATTTAAACCCGATTTTTATACTGAAGTGCAGAGTGAACGGGGTGAAAACTGCAATCTTGGGCACTTACACCTTATATTTTTGGTACGACTGTACAAGGTTCACATTGGCTTTTAGTGTCGATTTTCAAGTAGATGATGGACCCAGATCTGTGGTATAGTATATGTAGCGCACATCAGAGTTTTATTATGAGCGATAGGAAAACAAAATTTTATAGTGTCAGTCTATTTAAAAAAATTCTAAACATGTACTCTTGGCTAACTAGACACCTAGTCACAGTGGAGGCTCTCAGCTTCCCTCCTGGTTAAAGATTATGGATTGAATCTTTGTATGTTTATTAACGCGGACTCTACGTGTCATAGCTTCTTTCTGTTCTTTCTGTGCACTATACACGGCTACCCGCTTCATTAATAAGAATTTCTGTCGAATTCATGACCGGCCGTGACAGGATGTATACTCTGCGAAACTAGAGCATCAATGCTATGATACCTGTCCTAGGAACATCAGACACACTCAAATAAGCTTATGGCTATTGCTGGTTGCGATGAGATCAAGAAACTGGCGGCCACAATTCTAGACGGTTATCAACCGCTTGGCCCTTTTCATCAGCCTTAAGAATACGAGTGAGAGGCAGGTATCCAGTCAGGGAGCTGGTGGAAGAACAAATGGTATTGATAGTAAGAATGACGATGTTTAGTTCCCATTGAGAACAAGGACGAACATAATTTCAGTCCGAAACAGAAATTAGTAGTATTCCTAAGTACCTCAAGCAGAGCATGGTGGGCAGAAGCGACGGAAAGCCTAGGTCTGAATATGAGATGAAAAATGGTAATCGTATATCGTGATGTGCAGAGTTTATCTCGGTTAGGACGAAAACATACTACTGTATGTTGTGGTCTCAAGAATGTATCTCTGGCGGGATGGTAAAGAACAGCTGTGACTGCTGTCTTCGGTGCGAGGGCAGGTAGAAAGTGGAAGCGACTGGGTGTCACAACCTCTTGTGTCAGAATCCAAAGAGGTAAAGATATCCAAAATAGAAGGTCGCGCGTGTGGGGAGCATTCATCTGCAGTTCCTTCGATAAAAGAGGCACTTCAAGTTTGGGAAGAATCGAAGCGACAGATATCTCGGGGGATCACACCGCCAACTTAGGTAAATCCGGTGGTTTTGAAATTCCTGTTCAACCATCAAAAGAAGACTGGTAGAGAATGTCCAGCATTAATGATCCTTCATCACCTCAATGTCGTCATACTTTGTTACAGATGCAGTACCGGGTACTATCTTCATGGAGATTCTCCCAAACGGTGAAGCTCGCACCAAGACTTTAAGCTTTTACACTACATCTTTGATTGAAGATTCATGTCGCATTCAATTTGTAGTGCAACTTTTGTTCCAAGTCAGTCGGATGAGTAGATGCTACCAGAGGCGATGAGCTCCGGTCACGCTGAATCAGAATAGCGAGGTCGCTTAGCAGCCGAGCAGCTCCGCGGTACTTCCTGTGGGAGTATCCAACTGCTCAATTTTTCTCGACTGATAGGCATGAAGTGGCAGAAGTCCGTGCAAAAATGGTGTGACAAACCAGTCACAAGAGAAAGTCGAGTCCCAGGATGCGAAGGTTGCCTACTGGGAAAGGCATGATTCTATTGGACTTCCTATGGGCCATGGCTAACGGTTTCAGCCGTAATACAGCCACTCTCCTTAGGAGAGGCGGCAGGATTTTTCTTTCTTGGTATCAAAATCTCGGGGTTTGAGAAGCTGTTGATAGTATCGATTTACTTAAGAGCGCCGTTCAATGTGTACGACACGTGACTATCGAAATAGCAGAAAATTCGCGAAGAAATGAAAAGTACCGCTTATGGATACGATATTTCTGCGTCTTGCAATGAGTATATTGGTTCAAACAGACCCAAATGTTTTGAAACGATTGAGTAGTTTTACACCGTCCAAAAAAATTAAATCAAAAACCTAAATCAAAAATAATATTTCTCTAAAAATGAAAATAAATCAATCATAGGATACACTTTTGCAGTCTCGGATATGCATTATAGGTACCATCTCATTTTTAACATGGCGTAGCTAAGAATCAATGAGCCGCGGATCAACTGGAAACCAAACTACTTAGGTTCCCCGCACTTCTCCACTAGTGAAGCTTCATCGACTCATCAATCCACCTGTACTAGAAAGAAACGAAACGATGGGACACAAGTACGATGAATCATAGCAGAATTTTAGATTAAGGTATAAGTAGGTCTGGTCCAATGCGACGTCCGATGCGTTATCGCGTCTTCGACTGTAAGTTGTCGCATGGCTTACTCATTGCGTCACCAATTGATGAGATGATATTTACATCGTGCGTGTCAGTTGAAACATGCTTTACGCTGCTCGAAACTTTGGGAGGCAAGCGGTTTGAGAGCACAGATGGC